ACAACAAATGAAAATGCATTTCCAAACCCGTCTACATTGGCTACAGCAATATCGGCAGGCCTCCTAGGATCCGCGGACTGGGCGGTCTCATTTGGACATGCATTCAGGCCGGTCCTGCATACATAACCGACCGAAATGCCAGGCGGGACGGCTCGGTCTGCGCACCGAATTATTCAAGCTCATCAAAGGCAGCTGCATTCGGGACCTACTCACATCCCAGACCATCACCGCCGCGGCGAAACAGCCGGGCCACGGTTCGAGCCGCCGCACGGCTGTGGATTACATAACGTCAGCCCGGGGCATGAGCAAGGCCTCTCGTCGGGCCGCGTTCCGCCACGGTCTGTCTGCAGCTGTAAGCCGACCGAGCCGGCGCACGAGGCCGCGGCTGACCACGCCCTCTGTCGGAGCCCGCCGGCCGCGCCTGCCCGCCGTTACCTGAAGATGCCTTCGGTCTGCGCGCCCTGCAGCCGCAGCACCTCCTCGGTCAGCGTGGTGATGATCCAGGGCAGCCGCCGGTGCGGGAAGCGGTCCCGCTGGATCGCCATCACCTCCTGCAGCGTGCTGCCGTACATGCTGGAGCGGAATATCTGAAACTGCGCGCGCACGAGCATCACGTGACCTGTGCGCAGCCCACAGACACATACATTATAGTTCGCTGTTCCTAGTCACATGGATACACTTCCGACCGCCCCCTCCCCCCCCCCCCCGCCCTCTTTCGCTGGGTAGGCAGCACGTTGAATGATCATCGCAAGCACTACGTCTGCCGTAGGTCGCAGGCAGTGGTCTTGGCGTGAAGGCTCGTCCCCAGGTGTAGAATGAGCCCAGCCTGTCCGTAAGAAGCGTTATCTCTCCACACGGTCACCCCTGGGATGACCTGCCCCAATCGGGCCGCTGGGCTCCACAGCTTACCCGTGCCTGGTCAATCTCCTCTAAGCTGGGCTTGCGGTTGTTCCGTTTGCCGAGGTTCCGTTCCAGTCTTTGGCAGCATATTTTGGCATAGTGGGAGATCTGTACTTGTATCAGCGACTGCAATCAGGCACACACGTCGGCTCATGAAATAACCTACTCCGCCACGCAGAAACCTCACACCAAATGCTGGACGGGCAGAGCTGAAAACTAAATATAGGACGCACTTAAACTTGATGGAAGGCGAGAATTTGAGGTTGGATGTCTTCCGATCACGAAACTCGGTCACTTCACCGAACTGAACGCTTTATTGAGTAGTGATGACCATTAACGTTCGAAACTTTGGGGTGAAAAGGCGCACCCCAATAAACCGCTGCGTTAAACAAGTTGCTTAGGGTGGGTCTGTCTGCCCGTGTCCCATTTTGCATTGCGTCGCGCCCGGGCCGAACGACGGGTCGCTGATCGGTGAAATTCGTACACGACGCGCGGGCGCACGGGCCGGTTTTCCACGGGCAGGTCGCGAGCCGCTGCGGTCCCAGGTTCGGGAGTGCCATATGCCCGAAGGGACGTTTTGGGCGTACCGGTTCTGCACGGGCGGCCCGAAAATGCGACCGACGACAAACCCGCCGAGCCGACGTTCGAAATAGTGGTCACATCTTGGTGATCGGGGGCAGGAGCGGCACATTAGCACGCCTTGGTAGATAATTGAACGGGGAATCGCGTGGTGCCGGACGTGCGGTCACACGTGTCTCGCGTACGCGTCACGTCACGTACACAGAGGTCACAGAGTTATAGTAGCCTGGTTTTTACGTTTTTTCACGTTGTACGCCAAATCACGGGAGCCAGAGCAGGTGGACGTGCGTATCCTATTTCAGCGCATCGATCAACGTACCGTCTGCACTTCACGTGGCCAACACGGATTTGTGTGGTTGCGCCAGCGATCGTCGGGTAAGACGGATAGGTCGGCTGTTCGAAAAGTGCCGAGTACAACACACCTTCGTCGAAACTGTAGCCAGGGTCGTAACGAAATTTGCATCGTCGCATACGCCCATACATTGCCTATATCTACCACTCATCCATTCGTGCACGGAAAAAACACACATCTTGAGGAAGAATACTTGCGAAGTATTCCTCGCTATCGCAATATATGATAGCGAAGCAAGCCTGCAGCCACTCCTGTTTTCCATTTCAGATGTAAGGGATATTGCCGGTTTGCATCACGTCCTCTTGACCCGAGGCCTTCCAAAGCAATTTTTCCTGGGGCTTTAATGCAACTCCCGTCACTATATCACTATCTTGAGCGACGCAAAGGAAACTTACGACATATCAGAATCTCAAATCAAATGGAAACGTCACAAAGCCGATGTTTACGTCCACTGGACTGTGGACGTAACCTCTGAGATGGTACATCCGTTAGACGGGTGACCAGTCTGCCACCTAATGGACCGAGGCCGGTAGCTCCGCGATAACACGCCGGAGCACAAGGTCGATCGAAACCATCGTCCAGCGCGAGCCAAAAGAGATCGGTGGTGCAACGTGCACCCGACATGGCGACGAGTCTGCAGTTAGACCAATGGCGCAGGCGGGCTGTGAAGGGGTCTTGATCTAATCTCGCCCATGGGAGAATGGAAAAAGCCGCAAAACGTGCCTGTCCACCACTGCATCAGTCTTTTAATTTTAGTCATCCCAGCTACTTTTACAGGGGCGCCGCAGCACTACGGGCACACAAACAACGCATTAATTAAGTCAACCTGTCACTCGTAATTCCACAAACAGGATCTCCATGCTGAGCGCGACCGGGGCTCGTGGGAGTTGGTGGGGACCCTTCTGCGTGACACCATGGCGCCAGTAGGGGACGTTCGTGACGACACCCCTCCCCCCTGGAAACGCGCTGGCAGTAGCGCTGCCGCAGAGTGCAGCACCGTCGCGGCCACACCCGACGAGCGCCGGCTCACCGGCTGCCTACTGCCACCCGCTGTTACGGCGGGCCGCTTCCGTGCCGCAACAGCGGGTGGCGGAGCGCCACTCAGCGCGGGTGAGCGCCCGCGTCGGGGAGATGGTGAGATGGCGGGAGCGACACCGATACCCGTCAGGGGAGAGCGCTGGTGCGCCGTCGACTCACATGCACGGGCCACTTGGCCAGCTCGGGATGGTCGAGCGCCGGGTCGCGGTGCCGCTGGATGTAGCCGTCCAGGAAGCTGACGAACTTGTCCGACGGCGGGAAGAACTGCAGGCAGATGGCGAGCAGCTCCCAGCCCCGGCGCAGACTGTCGCGCCGCGGGTTCTCGGTCGTCTGGCGGCACACCTGCACGTACACCTCGTCACGCAGGCCCGGTTTGCTCCAGCCGAGCCCGGCCAGCTCGGCTCCCACACTGTTCAGTGTCATGCCCGGCTTGGCCTTGCGATCGCCCATGTAGATCTGCACCAGCTTGTACACCTCGCAGGCGTCCCGCTTCAGCGCCTTGTCCAGCGTGGCGATCATCGGCTGACTGATTGGGTCCTGGGGGAGGCCGTGGGATACAGTCAGCATGCGCGGTCCGGAGGCGGCCGGAGCGGATGAGTCCGGAGAAGCGCGCGGCCAGGGCAGCTTCAGCGCTGGGCGGCTGCACACAGCAAGGACACGCTAACAGCAGACGTGGTGTGGGACGGAAGACAGATGGCCAGGCTGACCATTCGGGGTGTCGGTCGGGGCACCTTCAGCGCTGGGCGGCTGCACACAGCAAGGACACGCTAGAAGTACACGTGATGTGGGACGGGGACATATAGCCAAGCGGACCATCCGGAGTGTCGGTCAGGACCTGACTATTGGGGGGGGGGGGGGGGGGGAGGGAGAGGAGGACGGAGCAACGGTAACCGGGAACAAGCGGTTATGCCGTTACTATTGCTCAGATACAGGCGGACTGCGTGATTGTAGCCAGACAACGCGGCGGGTGCAGGTGCAGTTGGGACCGCACATACTGATGTTAGAAAAAGTGAGCGCAGTGACTGCGTCTGGTACTGACTACTGCGTGTTAGGCAGGTTCATAAACTGACACGAGAAAGGGAACACTGAACCTGCAGCTTGCACAAAGAAACCAAACATAACGCATCGGCACTCTTCTCAAAACACCCCAGCCGCGTCAACAAGGCCCGGCCACAAAAAGCCGATCGGTCTGGGACGGCCTTTATCGCGCTAACACACCCGTTACAGTCAGCGTGTCCCCGCCACACTATTTCTGGCGTGTTGACGTCTGCAGGCGGCAGCGTAATCCGCGCCCCTCTGCACCGCACGGCCCCGCCCCGCAGGCCTACCTTAGACCAGGAGAGCATGTCACGCACGGTGTTCTTCTTGCGGAAGATGCCGCGCTTGTGCAGGTTCAGATTGTCCTTGGCGTACTTCTCGATGTCGCTGTCGCCGGCGGCGCCGGGCCCGCTCAGGGCCGACCGCTCGGGCAGCGTGCTGGCCGCGCTGCTGGCCAGCGACGTCTGCGACGTCTGGCGGCGAACACGGGAACCCGGTCAGCGGGCCGGTCATGTCAGCCCGGCAGGCGGCGCAGCACGCTACACTACACTACGTCGAGCAACGAACGGAATCAGCTCGGCACGGGTGACACCACACATATCGCATCCGTACACCGATAAGAATGGAAATGTGCGAACGAACTCCATACGCAGAGCACAGCACGCAACAGAATCCAGTGTAGAACGCGGCTGCAATGGACAAGAATCGATAACAGCCTCGAATCTCAACATCAGGCAAGAACAGGGAACACCAGATAGTCAATCTCGGACACCAATGCGTACCACCCACGCGTCACATCTGCCAGACTGGGCGGGCGGGCGGCGAGATCGCGCCGGTGGCGCCGCCTACCTGCGCCAGGCGGCTGAGCAGGCCGGCGGCCGGCGGCGGCGGCGGCTCGGCGCCCAGCAGCGCCAGGTGCGGCGGCGGCGGCGCCGTGCCCGCCCGCTCGGCGATCGGCGAGTACAGCGAGGCGAGCGGCGGCAGCGGCGGCGGCGGCAGCGAGCCGCGCCCGCCGCCCCGGTTCAGCGACGCGTGCCGCGAGACGGCCGCGTACGGCGGCGGCGCCGGCGGCAGCCGCGGCAGCGTGCCGCCGCCGCCGGCGCTGCCGTCCACCAGGTCCGACTCGGACCGCCCTGCGACGGCGGCCGACGGACGTCAGGCGGACACGCCAGGGGACGGACGGCGGGCGGGGCGAGCGGGCGGGAGCCGGACCGTGGGAAGACGCGCAGTGGGAGTGACGCTGGCCCCGGGCTTCGGTCACGGCCGGCAGCTGGGGAATATCGACCACTACAGCGAGACATGGTGGTCTCCACCAAAAACTGACCTTTCAGCGACTGATCACCACGAAGGGCTCACACATCAACGTAAGGCATCACGCCGCACCATCTCCACCCAGATCGCAGCGCAGACGTGAGCGTCGCGTGTCACGCTGGACTCCCGGCCTCCGTCGAGCGGCGGCTCACCGTTCAGCTTTTGTCGGTGGCGCAGGTGCGGCGGCAGAATGAAGTTCTGGTAGCGGTCGTCCTCCTCCAGGTAGTCGTCCAGGCCGGACGAGTCGGCGTTGCTGACGCCTTCGTCGTCGGCGAACTCGTCCGAGTCGTCGGCCGGACCAGAGTCCTCGCTGCGCCAGCTCTCCCGGTCGTCGGCCAGCGCGTCGCCGAACCGGTACCCTGGAGCACGGCGGAGCCGGGCGGCGAGTCAGGCGGGCGGCGAGTCAGGCGGGCGTCGGACGCGGGGGCGTGCCGCGACAGATCGGACCGCGGGGGTGTCGGACACGGAGGACCGGGCAGTGGGGGTGTCGGACACGGAGGACCGGACTGCGGGGGTGTCGGACACGGAGGACCGGGCCGCGGGGGTGTCGGACACGGAGGACCGAGCCGCGGGGGTGTCGGACACGGAGGACCGAGCCGCGGGGGGTGTCGGACACGGAGGACCGGGCCGCGGGGGTTGTCGAACATGGAGGATCGGACCGCTGGGGTGTCGAACATGGAGGATCGGACCGCTGGGGTGTCGAACATGGAGGATCGGACCGCTGGGGTGTCGAACATGGAGGATCGGACCTTGCGGGGGTGTCGGGCGTGCAGGACCGGACCGCGAGGGTGTCGGATACGGAGAACCGGACCGCGGGGGCGTCGGATACGGAGGACCGGACCGCGGGGGTGTCGGATACGGTGGACCGGACCGCGGGAGTGTCGGACACGGAGGACCGGGCCGCGGGGGTTTCGGGCACAGCGGAGCGACGCGAAGGACAGTCTGACGAGCGGAGGAACGGCAGGCGGAGCAACGTCCTGGGACTCACTGCCGCGCCGTCACGAATGGCGCGGCAGTGAGAACAGGCGAGCGTCGGTCGTCACCTGGCCCCTGAGCCGGGGGGGGGGGGGGGGCTGGCGGACACGGGCCGAGTCAATGACCACACGCCTGTCGGGGGGGCGGTGACCTATCCACCGGCGGCCGTCAAAGCGACACGTCTCAGGTCCGATATCCATCATAGCACGGGGACTGTGCCAAACTGGCGACGAATGCACGCACATCGTTGGCCGGCCCGCCGATCCGCCGCCGCCTGCGCAGAGCCCGCCTGACGTCACGACCGGGGATGGCGCGTCACTGGCACAGGTCAAGTCTCCAAGGGGTCAGGGCCTGCAGTCTGACACAGACTGAACACCAAACCACCCAAGTCAGGCCTGCAGTCTGAAACAGTCTGGACCCCAGCCCAACCCCAGTCAGGCCTGCAGTCTGAGACAGTCCGGACACCGACCCAACCCCAGTCAGGCCTTCAGTCTGAGACAGTCCGGACACCGACCCAACCCCAGTCAGGCCTTCAGTCTCAGACAGTCCGGACCCCAACCCAACCCCAGTCAGGCCTGCAGTCTGACACAGTCTGGATACCGACCCAACCCAAGTCAGGCCTGCAGTCTGAGACAGTCCGGACACCGACCCAACCCCAGTCAGGCCTTCAGTCTGAGGCAGTCCGGACCCGACCCAACCCCAGTCAGGCCTGCAGTCTGACACAGTCTGGATACCGACCCAACCCCAGTCAGGCCTGCAGTCTGAGACAGTCCGGACACCGACCCAACCCCAGTCAGGCCTTCAGTCTGAGACAGTCCGGACCCCGACCCAACCCCAGCCAGGCCTGCAGTCTCGGACAGTTCGCACTTCCCTGGTGATATACATCAGCCGTTTCATATACACCACAAAGTCCAGTCGGCGGACATGCTGTTGCCGGGCGGCGGAGGAAGCAGGGTCGCTCAGGCGCGTCAATGCGCTTATCAAAAGCCAGAGATATCGTTCACTCACAAACAAACCATGTGATAGTGCATATCAAAGAGTCCATGTTTGCCCCCAGCTAAAAAAAGTGGACCGAGGAATATCACCGCGCTGGGTCGATGGCTGCCATTGCACAAACAAGCGGCGCGGCGCGCGGCAAGAGCAGGCGCTGGCCACCCTGTCCGGCCGACACTCGGCGTCCGCGCGCGCGCGCGCCGCTCACCGGAAAGCTTCGCCTGCTCCAGGATGTACTGATGCAGCGGGATCAGGTTGGCCTGTGTGGTCGGGTCGAAGAAGTAGTCGGGCCCGGGCCGCGGCGGCGCGTCGTCGGCGCGCGGCGTCACGCCGTGCACGATCACCGGCTTGGGCGGCTCCTCGGCGACCACGCGCGCCGCCTCGCGGCCGGCCGACCGCTGGCTGCCGGCCGTCGTCGATGTCGACACCACGCCCGAGTCGAACTGCGAGTGCGGCGAGCTGTCGGCCGAGGTGCGGCCGGCGCCGCGCAGGCCCGGCGAGAACAGCGGCCGCTGCGGCGACGGCGGGCTGCCGCTCGAGTCGCTCTCGCCGCCGCCGCCGCCGCCGCCGCTGGCGCGCAGCACGTCCAGCTGGAAGCGCGGCCGGCCGGCCGTCGGCTTGCGGTTCATCATGGGCGTGCAGAGCGAGTCGAGCCCGGCGCTGCTCGAGCGCTGCGGCGGCTCGGCCGGCGGCGGCTCGCCCCAGCGGCGGCGCGGCTGCGGCGTCGACTCGACGCTGCGCAGGCCACCCAGCAGGAAGCGCTCGTGCATGGAGTCGTCGTCGGCCGGCCGCTCGCGGCGCTGCATGAAGCTGTAGCTGCGCGAGAGCGGCGCGTCGCGCGCGCGCTCCAGCGGCAGGCCGTGCGGCGCGGCGCGCTCGCTCTCAAAGCTGCGCTGCTTGGTGAGCGCGGTAGGGGCGCGCGCCGCGCCGGCCGCCGCGCTGCGCCGCTCGCCCGGCCGGCCGAGCAGCGGGCCCGGCGGCGCGCCCCTCCGAGCGCGAGTACAGCTTGGTCGGCGACTCGAGCGTGGCGTGCTTGGGCCGGCAGCGGCAGCCGCGGTGCGAGCCGCCGTCCGTCTGGCTGGCGCCGCCGTCCGACGCCGCCGAGTGCCGCGCCGAGTCCTGCAACGGTGCGGACGCCGTCAGGAGGCGTCCCTCCGGTGTAGGGGAGGCGGCGGGGGAGGGCGACGACAGACACAGCGGTGCGCGGGACCCGAGACCGTTAACCGGGTCCCTGATGACGGGCGGGGGCGCTGGCGCGGGGTGACGCCTGTCAGTGTCGTGATGATCACACCACTGACCGCCGGCGGCACGGCCGGCCCATCAGTCGCACCAGATGGGCGGAGGTGGGAGGTGACACGGACCGTGGTGACTAAACCCGCCCGGCCGGGACGACGATAACCGGATCCCGGCCGTCAGCAGACGGCAGACCGCGACGGTCCCGTGGCGGCGGACCACCGCTTCCGCCCATTAAAAACGGCGTCCCCCAGATAAGAGCTGTGACAGCATGTCCAGCTATTACAGACGCGTTAGGAATAATGACAGCGAGAGTACGGTAACGCCGTTTCAACTTTGGACTGCCAACGTAAAACGAATTTCTTTTTCATGTCCCACAATACGAACAAAGGAGCCTAAACACCGTACTGCTCTCCTGTCTGTTCCGGTGCATGATCAATGAGCCTGGCCATAGGCCTGTCTCGATTGATTCTCACGGCGTCGGGCGAGCCGCCGGTTCAGAAGCGCCGATCGGCGACCGCGCCGCGCCGCGCGCGCTATTCTGGTCCGGCGCGCGGCGGCCGGCCGGTCCGCATCAGTCTCCACCGGGCCGGCTCGCGCCGCGCGCACACGCCGTCCGGCGGTGCCGCTGCAGCCCGACGGACAATGAGCGCGGCGCGTGCAGGCGGCCGGCCTGCACGGCCTGCGGGCGGCCCGCCTGCAGCGCACGTGCCGTCAGCGCCGCGCCGCGCCGGGTCGGGCCGGGCCCGGTCGGGCCGCCCGGCCAGCGGGTCGCCCGGCGCGGCGGAGGAGTGGCCTTCGCGGCCGCTTCGGCTCGGCCCACACAATGGGAACGGCTAACGGACGCGACGACAGGCGGAGAGGGGGTGCCGTGCGGCCGAGGCCCTCCCCAACCTCGTGACACGGAGACCGCGGAGTCCTCCGCGCGGCAGCCGCCGACTTGCTGACACGGAGCCCAGCGTTATGGCGCGGTCAGGCGTTGGGAGGGGAGGGGGGGGGGGGGGTGTTGGACAGGACGGGGTGGCGCGGCAGTCACCGATGGTGACACGAAGCTAGCCTAATCTCTAGATCCAGCTGAGGCTAGCTTCGGCATCACAATGAGGCCAGCAGGGCACAGGCGCCGGCGGCGGCGGTGATGCGAACCTTCGCTCTGGAGCGCGGCACGGGCGGCTGGCCATCCACCGCGCAGTGGTGCCGGTGGTGATGGTGCCGGTGCCGACGGCCGCGCGGCGACGCCGACGGTGACGTCTGCGTCTGGATCGTCGCCATGGAGCGAGACTTCTGCGCCTGAAAACGCAACCCAGTCAGCACACCCTCGCCGAACGCGGGTACGCCAGACAGCCTACCCCGCCCGGAACACCCACTTTGGTATGGGATGACATCATAGCCTGTCACAATACAGCTGCTGACATCACGGCCGTGTCTATCCGTGCAAACTGAACATGGCGACAAACATCATATGCGCGTGGGTGTGTACACGCGTTGCGAGAGAAGCGCACAGGTGCGCGCTGCTCGTGCCCGGCGTGCTCCGCCGGCGGGCATGACACGCTGCCGGAGCGACGGAGCGGCTTCGGCGCGTTAACCGCCCGTCAGCGGCCGGCGCGTCCCGTCGCTCCGCGCGGCCCACACTTACAAACCGCCGTGTCATTCGGACGGCGCCGGCACACGCCGCGCTGTCACAACAGCCGGCCGGTACAGCGGACGGCGTCAGTACCGAGCAGCACGGAGCAGCCGCCCGCCGCCGGCCGCCCCGCCCGGCCCAGCCCAGTCACGCCGCAGCACGGCACAACCTGCCGTGAGCGGCGACGGGCGGCGGTAGCGCCGGCCTCCGCCGCCGCAGCCGCCGGTCGATGGCGGGATGTCGGCGACCCTGGCAGCGGCGCGTCACCGCTCGCTCGGAGGCCGCCCGGCGCGTGAGTCAGCCGGCGCAGAGAGATGCGAGCCGGCCGCTGACTCATCGCACCGGTCGGCCTCCCTCCGGCAGCCCGGCCGAGAGCGAGGTCGACGCGGGGGCGGCGCCGACACCGGCCCGCGGCCGCCGGTCACCGGAGAGACGCTGACGCCGGCACGGTCCGGCGACTGGCGGTCGGGCCGATCGGACCGCACCGGAGAGCCCACGGGCAGCGCCACCGCGCGACGCTACAGTGGGCCGCGACTAGGGGCTGTACAGTACCACAGCGCAGCACCGGCCTAGGCCCGCCAGCGAAGGGCATGCCGCACTGACTGCAGTGAGTCTGGCCTGCGTAGCTCTCGCGACTGCAGCTGACACGTCCTGGTAACTGCTACTGTGTATCCGACCTACCTGCCAAGCCAGAGGCTTGATGGCACACCGCGCACAACTCCGGAGAGAAGAGACAGGCATGGATCCTTCAGCGACATTAGCAACATCTCAAAAGTCAGTCGTCTGGCCGGCCCGCCTCAGAATTGCGCCCCCTCCCCCACCCCACCCCTGCACGGCAGCCCTGTGTTCCAGTGGCGGTCCGCAGCGACGAGCCTCAAGTTCCGGCGCCCACCCCGCCCCTCTCCGCGCCCGAGCCGGCGGCGGCCGACGCCGGGGCGACGTCCAGAGAGCGGGACCGCCGCCGCCGCCGGACCGAGCGGCGGCGACGGCGGAGCCGGACGCGGAGACAGGCGGCACGTACCGGGCTATTTCTGGCCGGCTGCAGCGCCGCCTCCTCCCGCCGACCCTTGGCGTCCTCCTCGGCCTCCGTGTTCTGCTTCAGCGTCTGAAACGACAATCGGACAGGAGGTCAGCGGCGGGTCACGAGCGAGGGCAGCGGCTCCTGCTGTACGACACCCATCAGCCGCTGTGGTCACAACCCTTCCACATCATCGACAGATGACAGCAAGACTGGTCACGACATCCCCTGTGACCTGCTGCAAGCGACGGCGGCGCGGCGGCCACTGGGTGGGCGTGGTGTCCCTCCTCACTGCCCGGCCACGGCTGCCACCCGCTCCCGCGTCCAGCGGCGGGGGCGGCGGCGGGGGCGGCGGCCCGTTTACGAGCGCAGTAACCCGCCGCGCGTTCGGGGGCGCCGGCCGCCGGCGGCGGAGATCGATGCCGGAGGAGACTGCCGGGCGGGCGGCGAGGGTGTCCCCAGCGCCGCCGCGGCCCCCGCCCCGCGCCCGTAAACAGACGAGCGCCGGCGGTCGACACACGGCAAGGGCGCGGCCATTGTCCACCGGCCGGTGGCGGCATCGTCGCAGACACTAACGCGCGAAGTGCTATTGTAGGGGCATAGAGCACGCGAGGGGACGGTGAGGTATATAGATGACGACCAAGGGTCTCGGTTACGTACAGAGGTAAAAACAGCCACGGTAAGTGCGTGATAGGAGAACATAACGACGAGCCCCGAGCACAAAGGCAGTCTCCATCCACACAAGTCGTTATGTTGTCAGGCCCTACGGCTTCTTTACGACGAAGCCATTCACTCCATTTAGTTTATTATTCATCGCAAACAAATGTGCCGTCCGCGCCGCGGGAACACCGCACGGCAGACGTGCTCGCTTATCGTCTCATCCCCGCCCGAGACGGGACCGGCAGTCGGCGGCCGGCGTCAGCAGCTCTGCTCGCCGCCAGTCCCGGAGGACGGCCGCTCCGGTGTCGCGGCCGTCGCCGGCCCGACCCCGCTCGATACGGCACCGGCCGCCCGCCACCCGTGATCTGCATCCGGTGTCGCCGGCCGGCCCGCGCCGCGGAGGTGGTGCGGCGCCGTCGATACCCCGCCCGCCGCCCGCCACCCACTCGCGCCACCAATAGAGCCCGCCATTCAGGCCGCCGCGTCCCCGGAGAGCGCGCTGAAAGGGAACGATAACCCGCCGGCCGCGGCGCGCTCGCGGGCTCTGCGCTGGAACACTCCTCTCCACGCGCATCAGAGCATCAACACTTCAGTCTCCCGCACTAGAACGCGACCACCCCCAGGGTAATTGACAGGCCGCGCCGCCAGCATCCATGACCATGCGTCCCCACGCCGGCGCAGTTCCGAAGGTCGGCGTGGCGGGCCGATCTAGATCCGATCAGCGGCGGCCGGGCCTGGGGCGATCGCTGCCGCCGCGGAGGTGAGCGGCCCGGCGGACCCCCAGCGGCGGCGGCCCGGCCTGCAGCGCACGGACCAGTCGCCAGCGGAGGCGGCACCCGGACCGGCAGCCGGCGACGCCGCGCCCACCACACAGCCGGCGGTGCCAGGCCGTGGGTCTGGCGCCGCGCGTGGCGCAGCAAGGCCTCGACTGAACGCCGGCGGTCGGCATGTGCCCGGCCACCAGCTGTGGTCGCGTTCCCAGGCCTCGTCAGTCGCCACTCTGTCTGGAGTTATGCTTTGGCCAGGAGTCATTGACTCGATTCAGGAACCGCACCGGGCGCGGGACTCACCGCTCCGGTCACTCGCTACCGCGCTGTATCGAACGCCGCGCGGGTCAGCGCGACCGATGTGCGTGAGCGCGGACTAATGACGGCGGGCCCGGCGCCAGCTGCGGCCGGCTGGCGACGCGCATCTGCTTACGCGGCCGCCGCGCGCTAGGTCCACCCCGGCCGCGGGGCCGCCGAACCGCAGCCGCCCTCATGCCGCCGCCGTCCGAACAACTGCCAGCGGCCGGCATCACAAGGCGCCATTCAAACGCACCGCCGCCGCCGCCGGATGCCAGCACGCGTTCAAAGCCAGCGGCGCCGCTGGCCGCGGTCGGCCGGATCTGGCCCTCCGGCGACGGCGCCGACTGGCGGCCCGTCTGGGAGGCGGGACACGCCCTGCCCAGCTTCGTCGTCTCGGCGGCAGCGGCGGCCGACCCGGCGCCCGGGCCGGGCCGAGGAGAGGTGAGCTGACCTCCAGGCCGGTGGCGCCGATCAATACCCCGCCGCCGCCGCCGTCGCCGCCGCGACAAGCCCGGCGGCTGCGGCGCGCCCGGCTCCGTCTGGCCAGCCCACAGACAGCGGAGATAGGATCAGCCCCCTCAGCCGACCGACCCGCGCGGACCGCGCACAGAGGTACACCACGGCGCGCCTCGCCCGGCCCGCGACGCCCCTGACAGGCTGCCACGCCCGTGTGCTGTGTTGCGCACAGGTGGTCAACCACTCCGCCACTGCCGAGTGGTTGACGCCTGTCAGCTGTTGACGTCAAGTGGTGATGAGAGGTTCATCTCACGTCCAAGGAGGTGTCGGGAGCAGGGCGATTAGGCACGGGCGGGGCCGGTCTGTATCACATGCTGTCAGAGGCCGCACACGGACAACAGCGGACGGACGGCGGCACGTCAGATAGTGCTATCTCGTTTGTCGCGCGCTAACCGGCGGCGCGCCCGGTGTTTGCGAGTCGTGATCGGTGTGTGTCACGTGATAAGGACCGAATCTTGATAACCGGATCGTTAACGCCGTCAACTATTGCTAGCCCGTGCGCACGTCTCAGTCAGCGCATACAGCGCCGCAGCACACTCCGCAGACCGCTGCACCAGAGCGCGGTCGAGCCGCCGACCTGGCCGCGCCGGCCATCGCGGCGCGGCACGCCTGCAGGGGGGGGGGGGGAGGGGGTGCGGACGGCGCGGCCCGTGTTCGCCGCGCCCGCCGCCTCTGACCGATCCCGTCACAGTTGATGCCGACCGGTGCCGGGCGTTCGATAACGCGCCGGCGGATGGCGGCCGGGCGGAGGCGGAGGCGACCATGGAAGGCCGCGGCCTGGCGGCCAGGTCACGGCTCTGGAGGTCACCGGGCGTCGCGAGGTAACGACGGTCCACCAGCGACGGTGGCGGCTGCTGGACCCGGCCGCCGCCGCAGGACAGCCGGGCACGAGGGTGGCTCTTGGGAAAACATCGGATCATCACAGCCACCCCCCGTTTTCGGAGTGTGTAGCCAGGCGGTCCGGGTAGAGTGGGAAGGGAGGAGCACGGGGTGGGGTGGGGGTGGGGGGGGGGGGGGGTCCCAGCCATGGACCACTTGGTCAGCTGACGAGTAATTCAGCTGACGTGGCACTGGCCGGCGGGAGAATCACGGGGGAGCCAGCTGACGTTGGACGGGCCGGCCGCGTTCAGCGCCTGACGCACACCGCCGGCCGGCAGGTGACGTCACCTTCAGCTGCGGGGATTTCACCTGACCGCCGGCGCCGCGGCCGGGACAGGTGCCGGCGCGCGAGCAACAGGTGCCGGCGCGCGTCCGACACGGACCGGGAGTGGCCACGCTGACCCCCCCTGAGGCAAACACGCTTCCGAGGCCTGCGACGCGAGGCCAGCGCGGAGTCGAGGGTCTAGGTCAGCGAGGGGTCGAAGGTCGAGGTCAACACAGGGTCGAAGGTCGAGGTCAGCGCAGGGTCGAGGGTCGAGGCCAGCGCAGGGTCGAGGGTCTAGGTCAGCGAGGGGTCGAAGGTCGAGGTCAACACAGGGTCGAGGGTCGAGGCCAGCGCGGAGTCGAGGGTCTAGGTCAGCGAGGGGTCGAAGGTCGAGGTCAACACAGGGTCGAGGGTCGAGGTCAGCGCAGGGTCGAGGGTCGAAGTCAGCGCAGGGTCGAGGGTCGAGGTCAGCGCAGGGTCGAGGGTCGAGGTCAACACAAGGTCGAGGGTCGAGGTCAGCGCAGGGTCGAGGGTCGAGGTCAGCGCAGGGTCGAGAGTGGAGGTCAGTGCAGGGTCGAGAGTGGAGGTCAGCGTGGGGCTGATGTAAGCGTGGGATCGACGCTCCGCGAGAAGGCTGCCGCGTCCCAGGAGTTCTAGTCACATAATAGATAACCCCGTGTGGAATTTTCCTTCCACTGCATGGATTCCTTCCACGGCATGGTTAAGAAGATCGCCTGACCAAGGAGCCCTCGTTCACGTGCCATCACTCAGCGATAAGTGAATTTACCTCGGAGCTTGACGACAAAGCTTCAATCGTAGTACGCATGAAAGGCACAAGTTGGACGCGGTGTTCGGTTTTCCGTGGGCCTCGGGCACTGACCAGCGGAACAATTAAATCACAGACCAGGGCGCACTCGCACCTGTTGAATGGCTAGCATACGCTGCCGGACAAATAAGCCAGGCCTTGGCATGGCCGTTTAAAACAGAGCACACAATAGGCAAAGGCGTACTAACAGATCATGTTTCCGTGGACCTATTAGTCTGCATCACTTGCCCCCTCCTTATAGCGTGACATGATATCCGTTTCAGACAGCAACAACCGGGCGGCCAGGTGGTGAACTATATCGCCAGGCGGCAACAGCGCCACAGCGAGCACCCCGTGGGCTGCTGGGAGCCACCGCGCCCGCCAGCCTGGCAACACGTCCATTTCCGCGCGCCGACAACGTCCCATAAAACGGCGCCAGATGAACACAGCGCTGCAGCGCGCCCGGGTGCACTAAGCATTCCGTTCCGACGCCGGCAGACAGTGACGCCATGAGAGCGGCGGGCTCCGGCAGCCCGGGTCGTTCACGGCAGGAGACGCCGCCGGACGGGAGACAGTGACGCCATGAGAGCGGCGGGCCCCGGCAGCCCGGGTCGTTCACGGCAGGAGACGCCGCCGTACGGCAGACAGTGACGCCATGAGAGCGGCGGGGCCCCGGCAGCCCGAGCCGTTCACGGCAGGAGATGCCGCTGCACGGCAGACGGTGACGCCAGGAGAGCGGCGGGCCCCGGCAGCCCGAGCCGTTCACGGCAGGAGATGCCGCTGCACGGCAGACAGTGACGCCAGGAGAGCGGCGGGCCCCGGCAGCCCGAGCCGTTCACGGCAGGAGATGCCGCTGCACGGCAGACAGTGACACCAGGAGAGCGGCGGGCCCCGGCAGCCCGAGCCGTTCACGACAGTAGACGTCGCCGCGCGTCCACATCGTCGCCGTGGGGCAGTCCGTCGGGACGCGAACATGACGGTGCTGCTGGCCCGGTCAGACCGCCGTCCAGTGCGGAGGAGACGAAGGGGCGGCCCGGCCCCGCGTGAACCCCCTCCGCCGCGCCACGTGGCAGTGGCACGTGGCCTGGAGAGCGTCGCTCGACGACCGGAGGATGCCATTGGCCGTGCTCTCTGACCGGAACAGTCCGGAAGCTAGGACCAACGGTGTGGGGAGCAGGCGGGCGGACGGGCGGCCGGGGCGGGGAAGGGAGGGGAAGGGCAGACCGAGCCAGGCTTCCACTGCCCTACTTTCTGTACAAGTTTCACACTAACCCATTGGCGATGCATGTCGGGAATGACGTTCGAATAGCCCTCCCCCCTCCCCCTACGCACACACGTATCACCCGCACACCCTGGGATGTAACGTCCCAGACCCTCGCTCGGAGATACTTTGTAGACGAGGGACTGTGCGCCCCGGGGCGGACTGACCGCGAGAAGCGCTCATTCTCAGACGGCCTCGCCTTGCCTGCCGGTGTCAGGCCAGCTCAGATCAGTGGCGGCTGACTGGACCGGGTGGTCCGCTCCCGGGGACGGGCGGCGTCACTGGCGGGCCTCGGGGCGCCACCAGGCCGTCGTCCGTGGGCGGCCCGTCCTCCAGGGCGGCGGCGCGCCACCCTCCGTACACAAACAGGGCGCGCAGCCGGCGACGCCGGGTGGGCCGAGGCTGACGCAGACTCCCCGGGGGGCGGCTGTCTCACGCGCGCAGGGCACGACAGGCGAGTCGGGCCACACCGCCATCGGCGTCCCCTGCAGGAGACCACCTGCGCGGACCACCTGCGCGGACCAGAACCACAGCCGGACCAGACCGCCGTCGGCTCCCGCTGAAGGAAACCACCTGCGCAGACCATCGTCGGACCACCGTCAGACCACCGCCGGGCCTTAGTCAGACCAGCCGCCGCCGGCTCCCCGTGAAGCGGACCATCTGCGCGGCGGCGCGCACATAGAGAGGCATCGGACGGGTACATCGAAAAGGAACTGATGAGCACTTCGCGAGCAGCCACCGACCAGCGCGAACGACGTTATCATCGTCACAGAGAGCGTCGCATCGCTGGCACGAATCGAACGTCCCGCACCGCTGCGTATGCGTGGACGGGACGGCCGTCCGTCGTCAGGAATGTCATTCAAATGCGCCGCTTCACGCTCCAGTGACGAACAATGACGCCGCTGTATGGGTACGAGTAGTTTGATTTACACAAGTGCTTCCGCATTTGCAGGCAGTTTCGGCCGACAGACAGAGTCATTTCCGTTCGTCATGCGATGTCAAGTCGACTCGAGTCAACGCTGGCTGACGTGGCGGCCATGTTCACCGACTCATATCGATGAGGAGTAAAATTACGAGCCATGTACCACGGCTGACACTCAGATGGTGTACGATGCCGTGTCGACGTGTTACATCGATGTTCGCTGGGTGGCGGGTGGTCAGCTGCCAGTCCCCATGTCAGCTCTTATTGAACGCCCGCACGCTGCCAGCGACTGCGTGACGAAAACTATCGTGGCTGAACGTGCATCCCGCGTACCAGCAGATGCGCTACAAACCAGATGATTCACGCGGGTATTCTTGGAACAACAAATATATAGGGACCGGTCGGCTCACAGACGCATGGTTTTGAAACAGATATTGAGCGGTACAATTATGTTGCGACAAGCCATTATATGCATGCTTATCTGAGCTTATATATATATATATATATATATATATATATATATATATATATATATATTAACCAGGATTGGCTCCTAACTATAGGCTCGAACCTTTAATGAGAATGCACTTGAAAATAATTTACGTACACCTCGGTCACGGGAGTGTTTGGCCAATCAATTAAAACAATCGTGGGTCTCTGGAAAACACAAAGACGAGTAAGCCAAAGTTGGCGAAGCTTAGCACGTAAGGCACGAAGCTTCCAGTTGTTTTCGTTTTGTTCCGCAACGGCGTCTCATTTCATGACCGAATGGTGGCCGGGTGGCTACCCGCCTTCGCCCGAGCGGGCCTCTCAACACGAAAGAACTGAGCTTGAGTCATTCAACTGCGTGTCGCAACAAACAACAAACATAGTTCGTCAGATTCTAACCCCTGCCTTCCGTCGACGCCGTCCCCTCCCCCCCCCCCCCCCCCCCCCACCAGCACCGGACCCCAGCGGCCGATTTCCACCGCCCTTCGTCGAACCGCCAATTCGCCAGCTCCAACCCGGCAATACATTTTTCATCGGGTCGGCGGAGGCGCCGACCGGCTCTCCTGCGCGGTCGATGACGGGCGGTCCTGGCCAGCTCCGGGCCGCGTTCCCCGGCGGCGGCGGGGGCGGGGCGCGGCGGCCCGCGCGGCACGGGCCGCCGCACTTCCTGTGCTCGAGGGCCGCCTGTCGGCCGCGCTCGCGCCCGGCCGGGTATTTCGGGCCGGAGCGGCGCGCCCCAGCGCTAGAGGAACGCACGAGGGCCCGGTGGCGGCGGCGGCGGCGGGCCCGACGGGCCCCCGCCTCCGCCGCGCCGGTGACCGTCTGGTCCGCCACTCAGCGACGCTAATGCAGCCCACGCACTCAACGCAGCAGATGACTGCTCCATCAGCGCCGCTTTCGCCACACGCGGAGAGGCGGCGGCGCGAGTGCCCGCTTTCGCGCGCGGCGAACGCGGCGAGAGACGGCAGCTGGTGGCGCGCGGCGCCGACCAGCGCCTGCTGTCTGACCGAGCTTCGAGGTAGCAGAGCCACACGGCGGCGAGCGGCCGCGACACGGCGGCTCGGCGCTCTACAGGCCGCTGAGGCACGCGCCGCCCGGACTGGCGCAGAGCTCAATACAGTCAGCCCCGGCGCCGGGGGCCGGAACAGCGGCACGAGGTTCAAGTCTAAGTCATCACTAGCGCAGCAATGACTCGAAGCAATATCGCCCAACATTGTGCCGATGGCAGTCATTTCGCTCTCCATTTCCCATGAGTGTTCTTATACACAGACCAATTCCGGCACGTCGCTCTGGAAATCACTGAGACGCGTTCTCAACTGAAACGGCAGGCGCGAGAGCCGAGGTGCGGCTGAGGGCTTCCGAATGTCAGCGGCGTCCGCAGAACGCCCCCGTCGACTCCGACGGGCTTCCCGGCCGGGGCTGGTGACGACACGGCAAGGTCACCGAGAGCGTAGCTGGAGGGCATCGCCACGGCAACGGATGGCGACGCCACAGCATCCGTCTGCGTTGTTGCTCACTGGCGTCGTCAGAGCGCCCGCCACTCACCTGCAGCTTAGCAAGCGGTCTATGATGTCGCAGTTGGTGGGCTTGTGCCACACCGTCTTCTGGCTAGAGGCGTTGTAGTAGTAGAAGCGCGAGGTTGTTCTGGTCGAACAGCTCCCACCACTGGTTGTCGCTGGTCTTCTTCCTGTGGCGGGACGGGGCGGCATTTACCGTCTGACGCGGACAAACGCGGCACGATCCATGGGCCTGATTAGCAGGCCGCTCGGCGGCCGCGCTGATCGCCGACCGCCGCAGGGACGTGATGAATGACGCATATTAATCAGCCTCGATGGACATCTGAGGAAACAACGCGCGCCGACCGGTAATTCGCCGTTGATGAGCTGATCCGACAGCAGCGCGGAACGACCCGACGGCCAAGGCCGTCGAGCGGGAGGTCGCCCTTGATGAGCTGATCCGCCAGCAGCGCGGAGCGACCGACGGCCAAGGCGTCGAGCAGCAGGCCTGGCTGAGATGAAGTGGATGTGCAGAAGTGGCGAAGCCGGCTGGCGAAGTGGTCGTGCCAGTGAGATGAGGTGTCAGGTGAAGTTGAGGACAAGACATCACATGAGAAAGAAAACCGGGCCTGATGAGAACCCGCGTAATTAGAGCGCGCCTAAAGCGGACGAGTGGACAGAACTGTTACCCACTTCAAACAACCGCATACAGGTATAGTAAGGATGCTGCGTTACCGGAGAGACAGCCTCAATGTGGACAGCGCAGTGGAAGGCCACGGCGTCACACTGCTCAATGAGACCAGACATAATTACAAAGTTGGGAAATCCTTTTAGCGGAAAGGTATCAGCCACCGCGCCATCGTTCCTTTTTTCACTCGCGTCTTCCGATTTGACCAGCAATATCCGGCCGGAGTGCAAAGTTAAATGCGCTAATTACGTAATCATCTCTACAGCGTGACCAATATCGGTAATCAGCAATGAGGCTATCAAATATGACAACTATTGCGCGATTCTGAAATTGCGTGGCAGATAGGAATGCACCGTATCTCCTAATCGGACTTATCGCATTCCTGTAATAGAACTGAGATCGGAAGAGTGATCTGACGGTCCCAACCTTGCAGCAGTTTCGCACCACGTCCGCCCCAGGGACCTCGATCGGTGTGGTGTGGGCCCGGCGCTGCCGTGCAGTGGCGTGCGGCGACAGACCAGGCGCGGCTAACAGTGCGGCGACTCGTTCACCGCAAGGAGGACACCGCGGACGGAGGCTGCGCGGGCAGGACCGGCGACAGATGGCGCTCACGACCGACGTCGGCCGGCAGCCGGCGTTTTACCTGAACAAACAAAACCGGCGCACCCGCACACAAATAGAAGTCGGCACCCGCGGAGAAAGGCAGAGGGAGGGAGAGGGAGGAGAGGGAGAGTCAGGGCGAACGGGCCGCGATGAGAGCGACGAGCGCCCTAATACAATGGTAATGGCATGTGGAAGCGGTATGGCGAGCCGGCGGACGGCTGCGGCGGCAGGAGCGGGGAAGGCGAGGGGACGATCCATCGCCGAGCGCGGCTCCCGCAGACAAGCGGCACGCCGCGTCCTCCGGGACCCCCCCCCCCCCCCTGAGCACGCCCGGCCGGCGCGGCTGCACCATCCACCAGCCGCGGCGCCGGCAGACGTCGAGCCGGCGGCCGCGTCCGGCGTCTCCGCCTCTCAATCTCTCTCATGCCGGCTGGAGCACACCAGGTGCAGGGCGACGGCCGTGTGTGTCCCAGCACAGGCCGCGCTCTCCGTCACCGGCGTGACCCGGCGGCGCCGCCGCTCTACCAGACGTTCTCCTGCGCGACGTCCGGCCGTCACTCACCTGCGCCGACCCAGCGTGGCGAACCACATGGCGTCGGTCTGGCCGACCGCGGCGGCCTCGGCTGGCCGGTAGCGGCCCGCGGCCGGAGGACGGGCGCCGGCGAACGCCACACACACCGGCGACGGCGCGCCCGCCGGTGCCGCTCGGGCGCGCCCCGCACCGGAAGCGCCGCCGCCGCGGCCGGAGGTGGCGGCACGCGTGTCAACTGGGCGCGAGAGGCGGCGGCGGCGGCGGCGGCGGGTCACCTGCGACCGCGGCCGGCGCACACTGCACGGTCGGCTGGCGCGCGTCGCCGACGTGAGGCGGCGCGCGGGCGGCGCCAGCCCCACCGGCGTCCGCCAAC